ACCCAAATAATAATGATAAGACAGCGTATATTTAATCCTCCTTAGATTCTGTAATAGTGGAAACGTCGTGCACTAAGCTGCCTTTATAGAATTGTTTGTTGAAACATATTTAAGTTTTCTAAACAATAATGATGAACGTGTAGCACAACATTGCCACATTTATTTAATGTAATAAACCTCAACATACAACCTGTCGGATAACTCATAATAGTTGAATTTTCATTGCTAATGTCTCGGGATTCTAACTTTGAGTTTGGTAAGACATGTCCTTATCAATCCAATATGCATGTTTATTTATTAATTCATAAGATTCCAAAAAACAAGTAGTTAGAACGATTCTCCCTCATAAAAAAAGAAGAGAAAAAACAAAAAACAATGCAATATGGACCTACCTCCACTCCTCATAACCTAAGTTGCTCAAAAGCTGTTGTTCTTATCTGTTCCATAATTCAGATGGGCATAATTTATCAGATGGGAAAAAGCCAGCTCACAAATGAGAAATGCCATGCCTTTAGATGGTGTCATTTCTCAAACAGCTCATGCAAGTGATAGGTAATTAAGCTGTAGCACATGTCTCATGCACCCATCTTATTATAGTTTAGGATTTTTCGCACTTTATATCCGAAAAGATTTCAAATTTTTCACTTTGTATTTTTAAAAATTAAAATTTTTATATTATACTCTTAATGTATAAAAAATATTGCAATATAGTCTTTCTATTAACTTCTGTTGTTTTTTTCCTCAAAAATTAAGCCATTAACATTAACCGAAAAACTAACGGAAAATTAAAAGAAGGATCACATTACAATATTTTTGATACATTGAAAGCGAAATATGAGAAATTTAATTTTTGAAGAAATAAAATAAAAAACTTAAAATCTTTCAGGGTGCATTGCGAAATTTGCCCTATAGTTTATGCATCACATTCATGAGATATGTGCAATCTAAAGTTCACATTCATGGTCCTGGAACCACCAACCTAAAAGGTCCACAAGCTTCAACTCATCCACTATAAGTCATAATTTGTGTCAATTCTACAAAATACATGACAAGATAATAATCATCATGCCTTTTTTTGACTAAGAAAAATCTCCAAAATAAGGGTTAGAACCAACGATCTTAAGGTTATTCCTGATGATATCTGTCATTTCGCTCATACATATACGAGACATTGTGCATATCTATGAGGCCTTTGATGGCCTAATAATTCTCGAACTGAAATTGTCTCTTCCCCTCTTGTAGTGATGCTAGACAACGACATAGAAAATAAAGTCACTCTCTCTCTCTCTCTCTTACTCTTAGCATGGTAGCTTTACTTGCTTCTAATAACCCTCCACGAAGTCAACTTGTACAATGATGCTTCAATTGAGAAAAATAAGGTAATTGGGATTGTTGCTTCAATATCTAGATAGATTTAGCTTACTTCTAAGGAGAAATCCATAAAAAAAGAAGGAAATTATTATATGACTAGTGATATTTGATCTCTGACCATGTTTGAGAATTGACAACTTCTTAACCATTCGGATAAACTCACTTTTCTCGATAATTGAGACATAGATATATGGAATGCGACTATTGAGCCTTACTTAAATCCAAGTGTCTTTAACAATTGACTGGACTGGAGTGTAAGAGTCATAGTAGGTCCACTTTTAAATGAAAGTAGGTGAAAAACTGATTGCCTTCTTCAATTTTGTGACCACATTTGTTTTGTATTATCATGGCATTCCCACAAACCATTTTTTGAGGGGCCAAGGTGAGTTGGGGCAGAGGTGTTGGAGGGTTGTCTTTCTGAATTGTGTCTATATGTTTACAGTGCAGGTAAATTGTGGTAAATATAATTTATTAGACACATTACCAAGAGAGTAAGGGTGTGTTTGTTTGACAGATAATTGGGGTATTAGAAGGTGGGATAGAGAAATTAGTATATGGGGCCAATTTAAACCTTGTTTGTTGTGTAATTTATGTTTAGTACTATTTTTCGGGTCCCAATTCTTACCCAATTGCTACAGTAACAATATATCCATGTACATGAGTCTATTGAATATCACCCAATAGGTGGTATAGTAAACCGGTATTAGTCCCACTTATAGTAAAATTACTACAACACCCATTTGTCCATTGCCCCATGGATTGCAATAAGGTTAAAAGCATTTTTTTTGCATAGAATATGTCACCTAACATTTACTTTTTTGGTAGATCTCACTTAATCCATTTATATAAAAACAAACAAGTGGTGGTATTGGATAGAATTGTGATACTAGTACTATTTTTTTTTTTTTTGATAGGTTTGGTATAGATAGCATTTGTCAATACCAACAAATACACCCTGTGTTTATTTATAACTCCAATACTTATTTACAAGTAGGGTGATAATTTTTGTACACAACACGACCCTAAACAAACTTACCATGAGGGTTAGATTAGTTTTGGACAAGAATTTAAACAACGCGCTCAGATGAACATAAACAAAATAAATAGTGTCATAATTTGTTGTTGATAATTGATTTTTTTTGTCACAGTTTGGACCTCGAGTATGAAAAATTCTCATTTGCTCGAGTGATACTTCTTGAGTTTGAATAAAAATCAGTCTCTCAAAAATAAAAATAAGACCGATTATTGCTTATTTTTCTTAAACCTCTCCGTAGAATAGTGTCTTGTGCAATGGGTACAACCCTCGTTCTCTAAGACATAAACACGTGAATTAGTTTTGTATGGTCAAAATTTTTGGAGAAACGATAAGAGGGGAGGGGGAGTGTTGAACGTAAATACACAAGTATATTTGCACAAAGTGATAGGGACAATCTACAAATAACAAAAGGTATAGATCTGTAGCCCTTAAACTTATCTATTTCAACCTAGGGTTAACTCAAGCGGTAGTCTATCGTTTGATAGATGTTTTAAATTGGCATTAGTCAAGTATTCCATACTCTCCTACTCCACTGGATGAAAATGCTCATTGTGACCATTTCCTTAAATTTAACCTTTTCGCGTGGGGAGGAGACTTTACGTGGAGATTCAAGTTGACTATCGGTAAGGCTGTTTGTCGAACGAGTCCGAGTTGATTCGAATTGAGCTTGAAAAGCTTGTTTTTTAATTAAACTTTAAAAATTGTTCAAGTTCGGCTCGTTTAGGAAATGAGCTGAATCTGAACGAACCGAACTCGAATCGAACCCAAGTCAAGTCCGAGTATTTGCACATAAATGAGCCGAGCTTGTCGAATTTGAAGCGAGCTTGTAGGACTTGTTGTTTAAACGAGTTTAAAAATTTATTCAAGTTCGGGCTCGTTTAAAAAACGAACCGAGCATGAATGAACCGAACTCAAACCAAGCTCAAATAGTTCAGTTTAATTAACACCTCTAACTACTAGTCACGAGTCCAAATGAACTTGATTGGTGGGATTGGCCGGGAGTTCTTGGGTTATTAAAAAAAAAATACTTATATATTTTAACTTTTATATTTATTTTTCTCGTACAATGTCTTTATCAAAATTATGTTTTTATCACTTTTATTATGCATAGAATTCACCACATTTTGTTTGTTTTTAACGGCTCGTTGTTCTATAAAGAAAAAGATGAAAATAATTAATTTGAAAATCATCAATAATGGGACATTATCCCACCTGTCCAACTAAATACAGGAGCAATTATTACTATGGATTGAGCCCAGAAGGATGTCATTGTCCCCCTCGTGATTCATGTCTTTTTTTTTTGTCTTTACCATTTAAAAAAGATAAGAGTAAAAAGAGTTCTCAGAAACTATCCCTAGTACCGCCTTATTGTTAGGATCATGAAACTTTTGATCATACACATTATTTCTCTTCATAGTAAATTTAACTAGATTAATATAGCAGTCAATATTAAACCCCAGTATAGACCGCAAAACTCGACCATCTAACTTTAAGATAAGAAATTCGGTCAATAACTCACTAAATCATTCCACTCATTGATGTGATTCATGTGTCTCTGTTTAAACGGATAAATTACAAAATGCCACCTTGCCCAATTGTAAATTACTAGAAACTTAGCAAAGTATTCAAGAACTAGTTGTAGTGATATGTTTACTTCTTTTTTTTTTTTAATAAGCAACGATGAGTTACATTACGAGTGTAAAGATGTCACGATTATACTATGTTGTCACAATGACATTATGTAATCATTCGATAATAAAAATTTAATTGGACAAAGTGTACTCCATTTTTTTATATCGAATAGTTATTACATGATATGAATGGATAGTTATTTAATTGTGTAAAATTCATTTGTCTATTTGTTAATTTATTAGTGAATAGTTACACCAAATTAATATGATAACATGGTGTAAAAGTAATATTCAATATTTTCTCGTAAAGAAAGGGGAGGGTACGGGAGAAACGATAAGAGGTGGGAATGCACCTAAATACACAAATATATTTGCACAAAGTGATAGTAACAATCTACAAATAATAAAAAGTATAGGTCTATAGCCCTTAAACTTATCTATTTCAACTTCAAGGAGTAAGTTCAAGCGGTAGTTGGTTACTTGATAAATGCTTTAAGTTGACATTAGCTAAGGATTCGATACTCTCATACTCTACGGAGTAAAAATATTCCTTGAAACAATCTTCCTTAAATTTAATCCTTGCACATGGAGAGAAGGCTTTGCGTGTGAGACCAAATTAACTACCGGCTATGAGTCCAAATGAACTCGGTTGGTGGGGGTCTAAGCATTCAAAAAAAAAAAAAAACTTATCTATTTCGGTTTTTATGTTTAATTCTATTGAACATGTCGTTATTGCGGGGCTTTAAACAAAGCGTTGTCGCATTAAATAATTTAAATGGACGTGCAACGGTTTGAACATTGACGGAGGGATGAGAGTGTCATTTATTTTTCTATGTTCCATACATGTCATTAAAAATCCTTCAATTGACTGCTAAATGACTAATATACCCTGAAAGCCCCAGTATAAAACATAGCATCATAGCAGAGCTTTCTCTCAACAAGCAAAACAGACTCCATTGCAAAGGTCATTGCCTCTCTCACTCTTTCTTCACAACACAATGGCAGTTTCTGATGAGATTGGAGCTCTCACAAGGGCCTTCTCAGGTTCTCTCCAATCTTCTCCTTAATATTTTCGATTGGTTTTAATCCGAAATTTCATTTCTTCTCTTTTTCACAACATTATCTATTCATTTTGCGCGGTAACTCGGGATTGATCATGTGAAACTAATGTACATGGATCAAATTCTTGTTCTGAAAAATCCATGGCATTTGCATTCTCTTTCAACCTAATGCAATGCTAGTAAGCTTCCTCTTGATTTTTTTTTTTTTTTAAGAATTGTATTTAGGTTTTTGGTATTTTTAAATAATTTCAGTGCCTTGTTATTGTTTTTCGTAATTACTTTTATGGGAAAATTAAAACTGAATTTATAATTGTTGTGCATAGGACTGGGTATCGATGAGAAGTCATTGATATCGATACTGGGGAAATGGCATCCGGAGCAGAGAAATTCATTCAGGAAAGGAACTCGTAACTTCTTCATCGAGGATGAACGACAGTTCGAGAGGTGGGACGACCGTCACATCATCCAATTGGAGCGTGAGTTCCTACGTTTTAAGGTACATATTATTTTCCTTAATATACTACCTTGTGAAATTTAATGTGTAGATATGTACAAAATTACTGAGGTCCTAATAATTAAAGATTGATGTTAAATTGAGCAGAATGCTATGCTGCTTTGGACCATGCATCCTTGGGAAAGAGATGCCCGTTTGGCTAAGGAGGCTCTGTACAAGGGACCGCAGTATGGTGTGCTCATAGAGATTGCATGTACTAGATCGTCCGAAGAGCTATTGGGAGCAAGAAGAGCCTACCACTCCCTCTTTGAACGCTCGATAGAGGAAGAAGTTGCCTCTCGTGTCGGTGGAATTGAACGCAAGGTGAGTATACCAAATACTTCCATGGTTTTCGTTACAAATGGTAGGCAGCGGATTCAGATTCAGATCCTCCCCATTTCAAATTGGAAAATGCTATTTGGGTCAAAAAAATCTAATAATCTAATGATGTGGTTTCATTGGAACTATTAGATTAATACCAAATTCTAATATTTGATGGAATTCGGAGTCAATACAAAGGTTATAGTGAATTACTCAACAAATTAGGTCCCAATAACATTGATCTTTCAAATTTTCTTAATTTTCATGAAATTTAATTAGACACCATTAAATTATTGGCTCACATTGGTTGGGTTCCTCTTAATTCTACAACCAACCCAAGTTTTCCTCTTCCCAATTAAAATTGGGCCCATCACTTGAGAATGTAACTTGTTCTTGGGGAATGATAAACTAGGTCCAAAGTCTATTTATCAAAATATGGGCCTAAAACCCACTTTATTCAGAATCACGAATGGCTAGGATCTAGATTCACTATAATACATTTTTTTTCTTAATCTCTCTTAATGGTAGGTAATCGATCGGGAATTCAAGTGAGCCTCTCATAGATAAGTGGATCCCTCATAAATAAATGGTAGATGATATGCCATTAAAAAAATTATTGAATAGCCCCAAAAATTAGCATCATAGTGGACTTCGGACCCACCATAAGTATCATAGTGCACTTTTGCTCCATGTTAGCCATTTTTTGGTTGGTCCAATAACTTGGCTAAAGAATAATGTCACAGGGATCTAATTTATTACATGAAACATTCATTAATAAGGGAATCGGAATTGAAGAACGAATGAGTAGGGGAGAGATTTTTCCTTCATTGAGAAATTGACGGCTGTGAAAACCAGACAAGGTTATGCTATCCCCTTGTTCAGCCCTGCAAAGTTGGATTAATTGTTGGTTCGAATGTTAGGTGAAACTTACTTGGATCCAACAGTTGTAATTAATTAGGTTTCCAAATATATTATAAATAACATTTTAGCCAAATCCAAATTAGGAGGTCTAAATGCAAGACAGTTTCTCATTTGGTTTTTATAAATTGAACAGCTCTTGGTTGCACTTTTGAGCTCATATCGTTATGAAGGTCCACGGGTCAATGAAGAAATTGCAAAAACCGAGGCTAAAACACTTTGTAATGCCATTAAAAATGCTGGTAAGAAACCAGCTATTGAGGAAGAAGAGGTTTTGAGGATACTAACTACAAGAAGCAAGCTCCATATCAAGGCAGTGTACAAACACTACAAGGAAATCAGTGGCAAGTATCTCGACCAGGTAAGAAACTAAATATTTGATGTACGATGTTGGTCTAACATGATATCAGAGCTTTTCTTTTCTGAAGTTTCGGGTTCAAGTCTTTGTGCCTGCATACTATGCCTTCGGTTCATATTTTGTGTTTGCATGTTGATTCACTTGCTTGCATGTCTCCCCAAATTATTTTTTTATTTTTTTCGGTTTTTTGAGATGTTTATCCGAGCGAGGTTCTAACCTGAAGTGATGATATACATTGTTGGACCCGTTAAAAGTCAAAGGGATAGAAAAGAGGAAACAAATTATTGAAGATGAATCCTTAGGAGTCATTTACCTTGACCAATAACATCCAAAACTTAGCTAGAAACTTGGCTAAAAGGATTTCAAGGTTAACTATTTAATTACATGACTCATATATTTTCTTATTTATGAATGTTTTACTTCAGGATCTTGATGCTGAGTTGGGCTTAAAAGAGACAGTGCAATGCCTATGCTTACCTCAAACATATTTTAGCAAGGTGAGATCAAAATACATAATTTTGCCTCCAAAATTCCCAACGCTTTTTTCAAATAAATATTTTCACAAAAACATATCCTCTCAGGTTCTGGATGATGCATTGAAAACCAGCGTGGATGAGATTACGAAAGAAACAGTGACTCGGGTAATCGTTACTCGAGCAGATGCTGATATGAAGCAGATCAAAGAAGAGTACCATCAGAAATATGGGGCTACTCTCTCCAAGAAAATCGAAGATGTAGCCAATGGCAACTATAGAGAATTCTTGCTTACATTGGTTGCAAGAGGAGACCAATGAAGAAAGTATTAACCAAACCTTTGGGCATCAATGAATTTGCTCTTTCTTGTCATTCATTTGTTTCATGGCTTGGTTTGTTGCCGGTGTCCTCCTGCTTTTATGAGTGTTATTTGATCACAAAAGAGAACCTTATATCTTAAACATCTTAATCTTACATGTTTTAGCATTTGGTATATCTATTTAAGCAATGGCATGATTATGACTTAGTGTAGGAAACCACTCTTTACAGGATAAATTTATTTTTTATTTGTAAAACTATGGTCCTCACTCTTAATAGCAATTTCACCTTGTACCATGAAAGATTTTTTTTTTTTTTTCACTGTGCATCCTAAAAGATGAGATTTCTCATATTGAACTTTCATTGTGTTAAAAATATTATAATGCGATCCTTTTGTTAGCTTTCGTTGCTTATTTCGTCAAAATCAACCATATTGATGTTGACTGAATAAGTAACGAAAAATAACAAAATGGTCATATTATATGACTTTTAATACATTGAGAGTGTAATATAAGAAATCTAATTTTTAAGTGTATAAAATAAAATTCTTAAATCTTTCAGGGTACAAGATGCAATTCCCCCTCACCCTTATACTGTTGAATTTTTTTACATTAGCCCCACAACTAGTTGAATTTGTTTACCTAAAAATTAAACGTCTGTTGTGTTTTTGGATGAAAAATGTTCAAGTGTGGATTGATTTAGGGATGAAGTGAAGCAAAATCACATAGTTTGGGGACAAAGTGTCATAATTTTCTATCCAATTTGTAACAGACATCCTAAATTGGGGCAATATAAAGTACATAAATGTTAGACATTTTAGTGTTTTTGTAATATTCTGCAAGTTACATAATGGTCAAGGTTTCATAGGTCTAGGATAGTGAATCAATGAATTGGTGATTCCGAATGAGCAGGAAGTTGAAGATGGTTGAAGCACTTTGAATAATTCGCTGAATTTATGAGGCTAGATTTTATTTAACTGGATTTATTAATCAATTAACCTTGACTAACGAGATCATATTTGTTAAAATATTGATTACTGTAATTGATTAATTCCGTGAGCTCAATGCATGTAAATCTCAACTAAATCAGAGATTATGAATACCGAAAGTAAAGAAGGAAGATGAAATCCAAGCTATAAAGTCACATGTGAAGACTTCGCGGAATCCTTCAAAACTTAGAAAAGGTTGATCTAGAGACCTAGCTTACCTTGGTATGTTTACTTTAGTTTTCTAGGTTAATAGTACTTGCATTTAGGATGTGCTTCATACATGACTCTTGCCCTTTTTTTTCAAAAAGTTTTAATCTTAAATGTTGTTTCAAAAACCCTAATGGAGTCATGAAATGGACCATTGTTGAGCAACAACCCTTGTTGTTCATTAAGGCAAGTTTTTATATGCGTATTAGGCTTTAAAATTTGTAGGGACCACAAGAAGTTAATTGGCCTACAGCTCGAGCAATCTCTGAAACGGAAAAATTGAAAAAAAAACTAGAAATATAGATAGTGGCCATCGCCAAATGGCCTCTCGAGCGACTTAGCTAGATGAAGTGACCTTGACATTGCTTGAGCGGTCCTTGTTCATGAGGTTTGAGATTGATTCTTTTGACATTCTAGTGATCATTGCTCAATGACCGCAGACTCACAGCTTGAGCAGTTCCTTGTAAAACTGAGTTTTCTTTTTCCCCAATTAAACTCTATTTACATGGCTTATATATATAAGCATGTCTTTTCTCATTAGGGCAAGTTTCTATAACATGAAAACAGTCTCATCTATCATCTAGAGAGTCAAGAACAAATTATAGCATTCTTAAGCATCCATAGGCCTTAAATTTACCAAGATCAATCTTGTTTTACACTTTCAAAATTTAAAGAAAAGAGAGATCTAGAAGAAACCCACCAAAATTTGCAGTGGTGAAAAGATCTTAGGTGGATTCCAAAAAAATCGAAAATGATTCTGAAAGGTGGATCATAGAGCTTCGTTTGTCGTCTAGTGAATCTAGTACTCAAGACATCACAGTGGATTTCTGGAGTAAAGATACAAGTGAGAAAATGTTTAACTGTGAAATTGGTTGAGATATAAGACTTTAAGCTTGTAATCTAAACTTTTGAGTATAATGGATTAGGTTTGGTAGACTACAGTCTTGTGATTTTTTTTGAAAGAGTTTCTATGTTAAAATTGTCTTGTATTGTAATTCTTTTTCTCTTTTTTATTTTACACACACCTTTAGAATTTTACACTCATCATGCGTTTGATGATATGCTTGAATATTTGATTTATTTTATACATCATCTTGTAGTTGTGGGAAAGACTTTGTAGTTATACATCATCTTGTATTTTATACATCATCGTTATTTATTCTATTTTTTTTGAAATTTTATGTATTTTGGGGTTATGGATTGGAATAAATGGGCCCAAAATACCCAATTTGAAATGTTTGAATTGGATTTAAAATGTAAATTTGTTTATGGGTCTTAAGGTTTAAAGTTAGAAAATTTGGAGATCGATCTTTCTATATGAACTTATTTTGAGATAAATCCGTTAAATAAATTTATTTATTATGAAGTTCATTTTTTGTTAATTTTACCAAATTCTTTTAGAAGTAAAGTAAGTGACGTTTGAGGAAATCCCCTCACAAACAGAAGCAATCAACACCTCCAGCAACCGGCACCTCAAATCCGACAACACTTACAAATTCAGCAATGCCTACAAATTCGATAAAGATTTTTCCTACCACGATATTTCCTTCTTCAATAAACATGTAACCGAAATTTTTCAAAAGTTGTTCAAATTTAAATTTTAAACTAAATCCATTCAGTTAATACCATATTCGATTTGTTTTTCCAGTTTGTTGTGAAATTTTTTGAAGAAGTTGATGTTCATTTTAGGGTTTTAAAATATTTTCTACATTTACGGATTCAGAATTAGGGTTCGGGTATTTGATGTTATGGGGAAGTTATTGTTTATTCTAGGGTTTTAAAACATCTTCTACATATTCTAATTTTTATATTTCTCATTGATTTTTGTTTTTCTAATTTCAACGTGCTATTCGGTGTTACTAAATTAAATGATGTAGTTTTTCAATTTGTGGATCATTTATTGGGGAAAACAATCAAAAATTGCTTTGTTGTGTTATTGTGGAAAAATATTGATGTTACTGTGATGGAAAAAAAAAATTGATATTACATATTCGACGTCTTAACGTTGGCAATTGTTATTGTTATCCTAATTTAACCTACGATTATGTGTTACTAATTGAAATAATGTAATTTTTCAATTTGTGTATCATTTTGTGTGAAAAACAATTGAAATTGGTTCGTTGTTTTACTATAGAAAACTGTTGATGTTATTGTTAAAAAAAAAATCGATATTAAATAGGTTCGCAATTGTTATTGTTATCCTAATTCAACTTACAGACATGTGTTAGTATTTGAAATAATGTAATTTTTTAATTTATGTATTGTTTTTTGTGAAAAACAATCCAAAATTGATTTGTTGTGTTACCGTGGAAAAAAAAAGATACTTGATTTCCAAAATTTTCACATGGTTGTTGTGTGCTTTAATTAGTTTTATGATTTGGTGTTACTTATTCAAATAATGTAATTTTCAAATGTAATGATGTTACTGAATAGCAATTACTATGATATCACAAGTATTTACATTAATTGTTCATGTTACTTTTGGACATTATTATGCTTAATGTCTTATGTTTATTCTAAACAAATTTAACATTGAAAAATAAGATTTTATATGGATGAAAATTTTTTTTATACTAAGATATGTGCTAATAAATTATGTGTTAAAATTGATGTCATTGAGTTGATATTATTATGCTAACATCAAGTACTTGGCTTGCACTGCTCATGATACTTTTTCACATTTTTTTACTAATTGTCATATGTTCATTATGTGTTGTAAGCTTTTTTTCAAGATATGATTTGTATGGAAAAAAATCAATTAAATTTATAGACGTGCTTTGGTAATCTAATTTTGTAATATATTGATATATGTTGGTTAGATATTGATGCTATCATGTAATGGTTCAAGTTGATGTGGGGAGGGAATAAAAGAGAAATTGAAACCAACTCAAGCTACAGTTCTACGGATAGAGATGGTTTCTACATTCATAAATCATAGGAATGTATGGACTGTTGAAAACTACAAACAAGATCAAGATTGAAAAAAAGATACCAAAAAAATAAGAATTTGTAATGTTGTAAAGCTATTCATTTTTAGCTAGTTATAGGATTGGTTGTAATAATTTGTTGGTTGAGAATTGGTTGAAATCAAGCCTTTAGAAATATAGTTTGGTTTATGTCTTGAGATTAAATTGATATGTCGATATTGGGGTTAGGTAGTTGTTTGTAATGGATTGTTTGAAAAACAAAGGAAACTCTATCCGAATTGTAATTCAAATAGTAACTCAAATAGTATTATGATCAAATATGTTTCAACTTAGTGAAACATTTGATTTTAGAAGGCTAATATGATGTTATATGTAGAAGTGATATGTTGTTATATGCAAAGTTTGGTATTATTTGTATATATTTATTTGAAAAACAAATGAAACTCTGTCCAGATTATCGATGCAAAAAGGTAACATGAATAGTAACGTGGCTTAACTTTGTTCATATTAAAGGAATCACCTGCTTTAAGAATAAATATTTTAATGTTACATTTTTAAGTGAGTTTGTAAAATTGTTACACGATTGGTTACTATTTTGTATTAGTACAGAAATAGTAACATGGCTCAACTTTGATCCATAAGAGATAAATACTAGATTGATTACTTATCACACTAGATAACCTTGATATTTCCAATCAATAACATGACAAACTCAATCGAATTAGGCAAATAATTGTAAGAGGACCATAAAGTTCGACTGCAATTGCTGAGTTTCCGGCAATCTTAATAGAACACTTTGTTATTCAGAGCACATTAACACAGGCAATTACAATGAATAACTCAAGTAATCTCAATGAGAAATTTCGGCATACGAAGTCAAGATCAACCCGAACTCCAGCAAATAGTAACTCAAAAATTGTACTCCAGTTTCAACCTTCAAATCACCCCCAAAAATTTCGAAGGCCAGTGATTTAAATATATAAGAGACAAAATAATGTCTAAGAA